CAATCTCAACTATTCTTTTTATCATTTACTGTAAGCTTCACAGATAATTTGTTCCCCGAAACTCATACCTGACTTTTGGAGAGATTTCGAGAAGTAACTGTTGTCGAGCACTATATACACTGACAAACTTGAGGCTTAGGTTGATGTACCGTTTTTTATGGACTTTGTATTGTCTCTCATGTGAGAAAAGGTCATGAATGATTGGAGCATAACTTCGTATGAGTAGATGCGGATTGATATTAATATAATATCAACAACATTTAGACATTATCACTTTAATCGTTATGAGCATTAATTACGATAGAATCTCAACAAAATTTAAACATTATCTCTTTAACATAGAGCCAAATTTGCGATTCTCGGACTCAGTTTTGTCACTATTTCACAGCTGAATTAGATTGATAACAAAATTTTGGAGCTCAAAAAACCTGCAGCAGTTCTAGATCACGACAATTGATAAACTGCAGAATACGGATGGAGAGGCCTTCTTTCGTAAATAAGTGTTTTTAAATTATGGAAAACAAAGTTATTGAAAAAATTGCCAATTCGCCCAGCTCGTTGACTCCCAGGTGATCTGATTTAACTATTATTTCTTCAAACATAAGTCGAAATTTGATAATAGAATTAATTCATTATTTCAGCGAAGCTATCGGACAACATTGATGACGAACTGGAGGTTACAGGTGGTTTACGGCTTTTCTAGGTTAAGTATTGTCCATCATTTGAGAAAATGAAATGAACCTGTAGAACGTAATTGTCCGAGAAAAAAATCAATTTATGTATCTAAAAGAAACAATTATTTGATTCAACACAAAATGTTTCCCCAAAAAAAACGTGAATCATGCTTTGAAAATCACGAAAAAAAAACTATAATTTTCGTAGGCGACAAGCATTGATAAATTAGATTCTATAGATGATGTAACGCCAATGTTGACTCCAGTTTGAGAAAAGGTCACGCTACTGATAATTAATAATCGAAAGCCGTATTTGATTGCTAAATTAGTGGTTTTCTTATACCTGTTGTGCGGCATAAACCTTGTCATTCGAAATCAATCTCAACTATTCTTTTTATCATTTACTGTAAGCTTCACAGATAATTTGTTCCCCGAAACTCATACCTGACTTTTGGAGAGATTTCGAGAAGTAACTGTTGTCGAGCACTATATACACTGAAAAACTTGAGGCTTAGGTTGATGTACCGTTTTTTATGGACTTTGCATTGTCTCTCATGTGAGAAAAGGTCATGAATGATTGGAGCATAACTTCGTATGAGTAGATGCGGATTGATATTAATATAATATCAACAACATTTAGACATTATCACTTTAATCGTTTTGAGCATTAATTACGATAGAATCTCAACAAAATTTAAACATTATCTCTTTAACATAGAGCCAAATTTGCGATTCTCGGACTCAATTTTGTCACTATTTCACAGCTGAATTAGATTGATAACAAAATTTTGGAGCTCAAAAAATTTGCAGCAGTTCTAGATCACGACAATTGATAAACTGCAGAATACGGATGGAGAGGCCTTCTTTCGTAGATAAGTGTTTTTAAATTATGGAAAACAAAGTTATTGAAAAAATTGCCAATTCGCCCAGCTCGTTGACTCCCAGGTGATCTGATTTAACTATTATTTCTTCAAACATAAGTCGAAATTTGATAATAGAATTAATTCATTATTTCAGCGCAGCTATCGGACAACATTGATGACGAACTGGAGGTTACAGGTGGTTTACGGCTTTTCTAGGTTAAGTATTGTCCATCATTTGAGAAAATGAAATGAACCTGTAGAACGTAATTGTCCGAGAAAAAAATCAATTTATGTATCTAAAAGAAACAATTATTTGATTCAACACAAAATGTTTCCCCAAAAAAAAACGTGAATCATGCTTTGAAAATCACGAAAAAAAAACTACAATTTTCGTAGGCGACAAGCATTGATAAATTAGATTCTATAGATGATGTAACGCCAATGTTGCACTATGCATTGAGCCCAGTTTGAGAAAAGGTCACGCTACTGATAATTAACAATCAAAAGCCATATTTGACTGCTAACTTCGAGGTTTTCTTATACCTGTTGTGCAGCGCAAACTTTGTCATTCGAAATCAATCTCATTTATCATTTACTGTAAGCTTCACAGATAATTTGTTTCTCGAAACTCATACCTGCAAAAAAATTCCTGAAACGAAATGTGAACTATGATTAAGAGATTTCGAGAAGAAGCAACTGTTGTCGAGTACAACATATACTGACAAACTTGAGGTTTAACTTGATGTACTGTTTTTTATGGACTTTGTATTGTCTCTCATGTGAGAAAAGGTCATGAATGATTGGAGCATAACCTCGTATGAGTAGATGCATATTGATATTAATATAATATCGACAACATTTAGATATTATCACTTTAATCTTTATGAGCATTAATTACGATAGAATCTCAACAAAATTTAAACATTATCTCTTTAACATAGAGCCAAATTTGCGATTCTCGGATTCAATTTTTTCACTATTTCACAGCTGAATAAGATTGATAACAAAAATTTGGAGCTAGAAAAAAAATGCAACAGTTGTAGATCACAACTGATAAATTGCAGAATAGGGATGGAGAGGCCTTCTTTCGTAGATTAAGTGTTTTTAAATTATGGAAAACAAAGTTTAGAGTCTAACTTGAGTTTAGAGAGTCGTGGGGTGATAAACTGTGTTTTGGGATTTAGAGTCTCGAGAGGATAAACTCTCTCGCCAAGCTCTCTCTTTTTAATAGCCATACTTTCACCTCACAACAGACTTAACAAGCCACTGCTGACAGCAAACCTTCCCGAGCACTCGGCCCGGATGGTTTACTCATTACTCACTTGAAAGATTTCGATCCTGTAGCCTGCCACTATTTAACACTTCTTTACAATTCCTCGCTGTTTGAGAACATAATCCATCAAATGTGGAAAAACTAGAAAAAAACCTTGACCACACTAGATAAAGACTTAAAAGTGTCAGTCAACGTCACACAGGCCAACATCACTTCTTTGCACCGCAATTAAAATCCCAGGAAAACTCAAGCATCCAATTTTTAATAAACACCAAGCGTCAACACGGTTTGCCCCCTTTTCACTTTATTTTCACTACATTGTAAACCCTTGAATTTTACGTTAGAGACGACTTCAATCAGAATCGACCCCCTTACACACAAGACCTGCTAGACTATACTTTTCAAAGGCTTTCGATATGGTGTGTCATTGCAAACTCGTTGAACTGGTTCATGGCAAACCGCTCCCAAGAGGCCTAGTACGCTAGCTCAAAAACAATTTAAATGGGCGTCAAGCCATTACTTGCTTTCGCAAACAGTCAACCCCACAGAATTGTTCACAGCAGAGTTCCATACGGTTCGGTACTATCAACTGCTCTTTTTTAGTTTTTTCATTTATGACGGCCCCTACCCCCTCAGAGAATGTACACCTCACGTCTTATAGGGACTATTTCTACCCTTCCTCCTAAAACTCTGATATCAAAAAAGCAAACTAATTAAAAGGCTGCCTAAAAATCTGTACTTTTCCTCAAAAATTAATTTTTCAGACCAGTAACTCTTTTCGTCTTACAGCAAAGACTTCAATAAAGCACCCAGTGAACTTTTGAACAATAAGCCTCTCACGCTGAGCAGAAAATCCAAAATTTTGATCTTTACTTTCGATCCGACTTTCAGTTTTGCCGCTCAATGCACACAGTCCGCTGACAAGGTCAGGCGCAGAATACGAGTCATGAAAGCCTTTGCAGGTTTAACCTGGGTTCAAACCAAAGAACCCTTACTTTAACCTTACAAAGCCCCCATTAGACCCATACTAGATTGAGCCTTTCCTGCATGTTCACACGCTGGCAGTAACACCTCAAAACATCACCTGCAGTTTACCTAAAATCAAGCCCTCCGTGTTATAACTGGTTCCATCCTCATGAGTTCTACTGCCCACCTGCACAAGGAAGCTGAAACTTTGCAGCCAAAACGCCCACACTCTTTTCACTTGTCAGTTTTTTATTTCTTCTTACCGTTCCCATCAAAACACCTTTTTTTTCACATTCACCTCTTTCCCCCGTGCCAAATAATTCCATCAATTCTGAACTGCTTTAAACAAGAAATCACTGAGCTACTCGTTAAACAAAAACCCCCTGACAATTCTAAAACTCAACCATAAGAAACTAGAACCATGTTCCTTGCTGAAGCCCTATCCTCTAACATTGGGTGTATCCCTCCACCCAATATAGACCCCTGAGAACAATCCATCTCCAGAAACAATCACCGAAAGCTCTCCAACTCCGTTCCGGGTATAGACGGCTCTTAAACACTTGCCACATTTTCAACTGTTCCCAAAACCCCTCCCGCGATGCCGCGAAGTTCCTAGACCTGGAGACACAAGCATAACCAGACCCCGCGCTAGACAACAACACAAGCCGTCTGACCCACACAACTATGCTTCCGACTGTTTAAGAACCGAAACGATAGATACTGATAAAACTAGAGAAGAGCATATGCTATTAATTTGCCAATACTATGAGGAAAAAGTGCAAGCAAAATGCGCAATTTTTTATAAGAGTTGGATTGCAAAAATTGTACTGATAACATAACACAATGGCCGCGAGAGTTAATGAATTCAGAGAAACTAATAATTCCAATAATATTTTGTAATTTATAGTTTTTTTTTCAGAAAACTAACTCACAGAAACAACAGGGTTAGGAGTTGATTTTTTATTCCACTGCGAGATTCAAAATTGAAATCAGATTTCAAAAATGAAGCCATTCACGTTTTTAAGCGCCATGTCATACGTTCTGTTGTTATTAGAAACCTTAATTTGCCTTCCTTTTATCAAATGAAATGAACTTAAAAAGAAATCAAAAATCACATGTGAGCGTGAATTCATTTCAGACTTTTTCCCTGAAAAAAAACACCATCTATATAAGAACTTCATTTCGCTCATTAACATACACGTTTTTTGTTAGCATGTGAATCACCTGGTGTTTTAGCCACATACGCTTTCTTCATGAAGTCATCCAGTATCTTTTTCTTACTCTCATCTTGACCTTGCCTTGCAGATCCAAAACTGAATTTATCTTCATCAGTGAGGAGAGCACGCTGCATCTTTGCGTGGAAAAACGACATGTCAATTATGTCATCTAAGTATCTTACTTTGGGTGACCTCGGCTGGACCTCGTTTTCAAGCGACAGATGCTTCACGAACTTAGACTGACACTGCAGTTGACTGGATCTACTTTCGAAGAAGTCGCTGAAGGTAGCGTTGTTCGGGTGAAGATTCAAAATTAGCCTCAGATTCTGATACCGAATCACTATTTCCCTCAATTCGATCATAGCCACTTCCAAGTACATGCTTCGCAGATGCAAGTCATCTAACATTAGATGAGTCAACCCTAAAACATCGTACGATTAAAAAGGTACGAAAACACAAGCATCATTATTCTTATCAGTTTGTTGTACACTTAACAGGGTTGGACTCATTAAAAAAGGTCAATTAAAATGGGCCCTTCCGTCATGCAACGGTCCGTGCGGAGGTTGCATAGGGGCATACCAACGCTATATAAGTACATCGACAGAATTTTATGAATAAATCAAGTCGATTTTAAAGCATCCAGAGAATTGTCAATAAAATCTACCCTCCTCGATTATAGCACTGATGGCATTGTCTATGTGGTAAGTATTTTTAAGTTTTTTGCACCCCCTGAGGCAGAGGATTGCACTCCTCAGAAGTGCAAAACTTATTTTGGTTCTTATAAAGTTTATTGTGTCGGAGTATGATTCGTTCCGTTTTTCGCTTAATTTCTCTGCTAGTTTCTGGACGGTTTTTGTAGAGCCTGGTGCTGCTCCTCCAGTACACGCAAAAATTAGTGGAACAAAGCTGCTGTGTTCCACATCCAGAATTCTTCGTTGGTATTTTAATGTTTTGACACTCATGATATTTGTAGGTGTTAGATATAGTTTTAGGGCAAGATTTAGCATGGGGGTTGCAAAATTTTACATCGAAAAAGGCACGGCTGTTCAAGTCGAGAGTCATCTTCAGTAGTGGTTGCTTTGTTATGAAAGCTTTCGCCTTGCAACGATTGAAGTTTCGGCTCTATCTCAACATCTCTATCTATTCACTTAATTTCTGCAGCCCAAATTCAATTGAAGTACAAAAATTCATGTGGTTAAAAAAATGGCTCAATTAGCATAGCAACACTTGTAGTCGCAAACGTAAGCAGATTCCTAAAAACTGGTCTGTAGAACAAAAAATTATAATCGAGCAAAATATTACCGTTACAAGAACCTTTGCCTATATTTTGATAATGTTTTGCTGACGTTGTTGTCATGACTGACGAATAAACATTCAGCAAACCTGCCATTGTAAAGAATAAAACAATGGCAGGTCCCCAAATTACTACAGACTATCGAAAAACGCTGTATTATAACTCACCTCTCCGGTATCAACCGTCTTCTATCTAAAACAGATGAAGTGCTTTATGTGAAATCTTACCCGATATGAGATTTGAGCACCTGTTTGCAAGCGTGTGTAAAATAACCATTGGCGTGCAGAATATGAGACAGGTGCTCGGCTTGATATTTGTTTCATTTGACACTTTGTAGCCAACTGTTTCTCCCACTTTCTCGCCTCTTTCATTCGCCAGACGATGCGCCGCCTCAACTGCCAACATGTCATCGTATTTACAAACTAAGATTAGACAGTTTTGGTTATGGTAGGCTGCATGCTCCAGAATAAATTCGGGCACCGCAAGTGACTTCTCTTGTAGATTTTTGCCAATAAAAGCGACAGCTTTGTTTTGTTCGATACATTCAGTAATAAGAGATTTTTTAGAGAGTATATCAGGAAAGAGTGAGTGTAAAGGACGCTGTTTAGGCGAAAACGGTGGCGTGTATGGATGTTTCTGAGGTAAGCTGTCGTATAGAACTGTGTCTTTTGTGAAGTTGTATCTTGCCGTTCTGGTACTCGAGATATATCCAGACTGACTTTCATTTTTGCTTTCTGGGTATCGCTTTAAAAGATCTAAAAATGAATTCACAAAAAAGTGAGTTTTGATTAGGCTTAAAATAAGATCAATAAAAGGTATCGTAAAGAGCCGACTTTATCACATACCGGTCTTAAAACGGGACTGAAAAATCATAATCAGAAGGTCAAAAGTATCATAGTAACCGACCCAAAGTGGGGATGTTGAAAAAAACCCTGGTCCTATTGAAACCATTGAAACAGTCTACGGCATCTGCTCAAAAAATTGTGCAAATCTTAAATTTGTTCATTTGAATTTTCAAAGTATTATTAGAAAACGGATGCAATTGAAAAAATTTCTTGATGATATCGGCGAAAACACAATTATAGGAATTTCCGAAACGTGGCTTAAAAAAGTAGAGTGACAATTTATGGAATCTCCACCCTAGAACGCATGCGATGTTCAGATATGATAGGCAATCAGCGGTAAAAAAGAAAGGCGGTGGCGTTTTGTTATATATACCAGTCAAATTGGCTCCGAAATTGAGGCCTGATTTAAATTTATTTGATAAAGAAAAATATGAGTCAGTGTGGGTTGAGTGCAAATCTACATTTAACATTTCCAATAAAGAAAAAATGTTAGTTAATTTGTGTTATAATCCAAGCAGATCAAACTTTATTGATTTTTTGGAACAATTAACGCTTAACACAGATAATGCATTTTCAGTTTCTAATTCTGGGTGATTATAACATAAATTATCTGGATAGCAAAGAAAAAGAAAATTTAGATTCTATAATTATTCCATATGGATTGAAGGTTTTTTGTCCAAACGATGAGACCAGAATTAGTTCCTCAATTAAAACTCATATCGACAACATTATCAGTGACTATGAAACAAACGGCATTGAGATTTGTTTTGATACACCTTATAAAACCGAACATTTTGCTTCATTTATATTGACGGATATAAAATGCGGCAAAAGTTTACCGAGGATAATTTCGACTTTCAATAAGAAAAATTATCAGAAAAATGATTTTTGCAATACACTCTCCGCTCTTCCTTGGAATCTCTTATATCAATGTACAGACGCACAAAACATGTTCTCGACGATGATTTATTTAATTTCTAGTGCTCTTCAGCAACATGCTCCTATCGAAAAAAAAATTGTTTGTAATTTTAAATCAAAAAATGTGTTGAAAACGGAATGGTTCGATTCAGAATGTCAGCAATTGTTGATTAAGAAACAGAGTTCACTCAGATCATATCGCAGTCAAAGCACAAGCAATAATTGGTCAAAGTACCAGTTTTTACGTAATCAAATGAGCCAATTGATTAGAAGTAAACAACTCGATCATTCAAAAAATTGTTTTTCACTTCTCAGCACTATCCAACAAAAATGGAAATATATTAACCAAGTTAGAGGTACATGTTCTGGCAACAATCGAATTACAGTTCTACGAAACTCCTTCAGTGAAATGATAACCCAAGACAAAAAAATTGCCAATCATTTAAATCATATTTTTTCAAACATAGGCGAATTTTTCGGCGCTAAAAAGCCTCCGAATTACAACAAATCTGCCTCTGAATTTGCGCCTTTCCATTTTCAACACATTACAGTGAAGCAATGCTTTGATATACTTCGAAAAATCAATGTCAGAAAACCACTCGGACCTTGTACCGTACCTGCTTGGGCAATCATTGACGGTCAATCAGTTATAGTTCCACATTTAACTTTTGTCATAAATACTTGCTTAGATGAGAACATTTTCCCGATCGAACTGAAAAAAGCACACGTAACCCCTTTGTTTAAAAACGATAACCCAATGGATGCAAAAAATTATCGGCCAATATCAATAACTTGTGCTTTTTCTAAAACTTTTGAAAAAATTTTGCATGCCCAAATAACAGAACATCTTGACAAATTTCAAATAATGACACCATTTCAATTCGGATTTCGCAAAAACATTTCAACACAAGATGCTCTTGTTTATGTGACAGAAAGTATTCGAAATCAAATAGATTCAAAGAAAATTGTACATGCAGCTTTATTAGATCTGTCCAAGGCTTTTGATTCTATTTCGCATGAAGTTTTAATTGAAAAAATGCTTTCTCTTGGTTTTTCAAATGGAGCAAATGCTTTAATTGCTAGCTTCCTAAACAAACGTATTCAAAGAGTAAACGTCAAGGGAATCTTTTCAGACTGGATTGAAATCAAACGAGGTGTCCCACAAGGAACGGTACTTGGTCCGTTGTTGTTCAATTTATATGTTAATGACATACAAGAGCGATTATATGAAGGTTGTACTTTAGTTCATTATGCTGACGACTGTATGGTTTTTTCCTCTTCTATATCTTCTGAGGATGCTTTGAATCGATTGCAAAAATCACTCAAAAATCTAACGGAATTTTTTGCAGATAACCAATTGAATCTGAATGCATCTAAATCGGAATTTATAACATTTTGTCCAAAAAATGATAGCAAAAATGTAGATACTGATACAATAATAATTAATGGGCATTATGTAGCCAAAAAATCAGAATGCAAGTATTTAGGCCTTATTCTTGATTCCAGTTTATCTTTTCATGCTCAAATCAAAACAATTCTCCAAAAAATGGCACAAGGAATTAAAACTATAGATACAATTGGACAACAACTGCCGACATTATCATTAATTTCCTTGCTTCATTGTCTTGTTTTATCACATTTAGATTATTCTGCAATATTTTTACAACAAATTAATGCTACTTTGATGCTATCTCTAGGGAAACAGTTGAACTGGGCGTTAAAAAGAACATATTTCAGATCGAAATTTAATTCTTCTTCCCTTCTTCGCATTAGCAAATCGTTCATTGGAATCGAGAAAAGAATTGAGTTAAAGTGTATAACATACTTATACCAATATCTTACAAACAAAAAGAAGGCTTTTCAAAATACATTGAGACTACCGACTGCCAATTATAGGCTCAACAAAAGAACGAAACAAATTATTTTTGACAAACATTGTTCAACCGCTTCTCTACAAAAATCATTTTTTCATTTGACTTCTAAAAAATGGAATTCACTGCCCAGAAATTTTGCGCAATTTAGAAAAATCGAGAACAGGATTCAAGAAAAAATTAAAAGAATTTTACGTGAGTGAAATGAGAAACAATCCAATTTGTACAAATACAAATACGTGGCGTGATTTCCGTTTTTGCTAGTTCTATATGTTTTAATTTAGTTTAATTTTCCAGATATTGTTTGAACGAGAATCTGTATATACTCTGTAAATACGCTGTATGTTTGGACTATCTATAAAATTGTTTGTAAAGTAAAAATACCAGCTCGTTCTTAATTCTTAAAACTGATGTTTTTTTAGTATCCGTAACTTCATATATTTTAATCAACCAATTTCTGAACTGTAACCGAACTTGTTTTGTTTTGTTTTGTTTTGTTTATTGCTTGTTTTCTGATATTGTGTTTTTGTTTGATGTAACCAATGAATTTTAACCAACTTTATTATTCACACTTTGCTATACTGATGCCTCGGCTTTTTACTGTATAGTAATTCAGGTGTTCTTTCTTCTTCTTCTTCTTCTTCTTCTTCAGATCCTTCTTTAAATGTTTCGACCACAGCCAATGTCTTCTGCTTCGGCCGTTGAAATTGATACACAGCACTGGAGATGCTGAACTAACGTCTTGGGCCTAGACTTGAAACAACATCCTAGGTAATTCTTCTGATGCTGATTTTTCCAGCTCAGTCCGCATCCGAATAATACAAGAGATTTAAGGCATCATCCCTCCTGTAGACTGGAAACAAACCTTTTGTTCCTATCAGATATCGTAGACAGTTTTTTCCAGGTTACCGATGTTTTTCAACTGGGTTTTCCAAAACAAAGTTAAAAAGGTTTGCTGCTTAGCAAGTTTTGGGCCCACTTGTTAAATCTTCATAATTTACACATTCAGCAAAACCTTGATACTAACTTTTTTTCATTTTTCTGGTTCTATGCAACCTTCTGCAAAACAACCTTGGTTGTCAGTTTTTTTTGCAAATAGAGATGCTGTTATCTATTTTGCTTCAGTCATCTTAAGCCATGATAGCAATTTTTGATGTATTTTTTGTGACTAACTTTTTTAATTGCCTTTTCTGAATTATCTTTTGTTTCCTAGAAAGCTTTTAGGACGTTTTATCCCGCTTTTCTCAAAATTTTTATACTTATTTTCTCAAACCGGTCCACAAGCATTTTGTCCGCTCCACAAGCCACTATTTTACCTGCTCAAGATTAAGTGAGATTCTCTATTTCTTATCACTCTTAACAAACAAGCATTCATCAAAGACTGAAAATTCGAAGCCTATTTCTTCAAGCTAGCCTGTTCTTTGCCAGTTTTATCAGAATGTTTTAGCCCTTAAAAATTTTTCTGAGGACGACCAACTAAATTTTTCTTTTTCACCAAAATGCTCGAATCCTTCAAGTTGCTTATTGAAGATGTTTTTATCTGGTATGGTTTTCAAGTATGTAATTTTCTATCTAATTGCCTGAATTTATACATAAACTGAACTGCTAAGATTAGAACTATACTTATAGTCGCTATCTTACTACTAGGTGATTACTTTTCAAAAAAATCCCATTGCTCAACTTAGCCTATTTTTTGCAACAAAACTAACCATGAACTCAAAAACATCAACAACAGCTCTCTACTTCAAAGCAAAAGGCCATCTGCTGCCTACAGATTTCTGTCCTCTGTTCCCAACCAGTTCTCACATTCGCTTTTCTCTGGTGAACCGAATTAATTTTTCATCGCTTCTCACCACTCAGGTTCTGCTGAAGCTTCCTATGCCTTTTTTGGCTATGTTCATCTTCAAAAACACTTCATCATCTACCGATTCTTCTTCGTTGTTTTGTATACTTTTCTCAAAAAAGAAAATAGACTTGTCAAAAAATTTATAGACTTTTTCACATTAAGTTTTCTTCAAACTTTGAGTTTTCCTATGATATAAGTCTAACTATTATCCGATGTCCTTAAAAAACCTTTTAGGAAATTTTGTCTAGTTTTTAACGAAACTGTTTTCCTAC